ATAGTTGGACGGTTTGTTGCATCTAATTCATCTAATTCTATGTGCTAAATCATGCTGGTTTTGAAAAACACTCCCAACAAACAAATATTTTTCGACACATTGCATAGACATCTGAACCAATCATCCGAATCATCCCTTCTGTGTGGTTGAAAAGAAACAAATCTTTGCTAGTCCAAAAAAAATATTCGATGGTTATGATTATATTGCAGCAAAAAACTAAAAGGATTGCAAATCACCTTACACATAGCAATCTTAGTAATTGTTATATATAAAGAAGTATATATATATATTATTATAAATTATATAAATGTATATACATACTACATATATATATATATATATATATACCATTACATACCTATCCAAGGTCGGAAAAGATAAACCCCCCATGTTTCATCCCCTGGTTCCCCCTTGGTCACCTCGATGGAAAGAGTCATCACATGTCGCTTCTCAGCCAGCGCCTGGCGGCCATAAAGGCCGTGCCGGAAGGGCGGTGGCCAAAAACGGCACGTGGAATTTGGGGATTGAACGTTTTACCCTCTGGTGAACTAACATAGCTATTGAAAATGCCAATTTATAGTGGATTTTCCCATAAAAAATGGTGATTTTCCATTGCTATGTTAGTAAATGGCAGTGTGTCAAAACCAATAGTACCCCTGTAGTTCACATCAAAATAGCTGGGATTTATGGATGTGAATAACCCCCTAAAAATGGTATTGATAGGTATTGATCCATACACAAATGATGATGACACCGATGTAACTTGATGTAACCACTCAAAATGGATGATTTTTCGGAGAACTTCACTATAGCCCTTGGGATTCCACTGTTCAGAAACTTAGATCCTAGCCCTAAGACATCCTAATGTCGTGGGATGCAACGGGCCTTATCCCAAGAATTTCACCAACTGCTGCCATGGCAACGACACCTGGAGGACCTGGTAGAAATTGGTATTGCTGGCACTACATCACATAAGACATCTACTTACTGGTGCTAAACGTAGGGAATTTTCGGGAATGATCCACAATAACTATTCTAATAATACTCCCAGCAACCCCCATTCCCTACTAAGCACCAGTGAGAAGTAGCTGGAAAAGAGCTCCATGATGTTTCCAGTTCTGGCTGGGTTGCGGGATCAATCCTACAAACAAAACGCTCCTGCTGACAATTTTCTGTTGGTTTACTATTGTACAATAGCTAGATTTATGGTAGAGATATGGAACTAGTTAGATGGGTACGTAAAGCCACTTATAAGTGGGGGCTGCACATTTTAGGAGTATATACGACTAAATTGAAATATGACATGTAATGTGACCCGTAGATGAGCTATAAATCAAAATTTCATCAGCAAAAAAATGGTATCAAGCCAACTATAGGTACAAAATGGTACAAACCAAACATAGTAGAACTTAATTTTTGTGTATTAATGATGATAGATCGAAGATTTTTTTGAACCCATCATTAAAAATCTTAGAAGATCACAAGCCATTGCCATGATCCCAGCCCTCGATCCTGCTCACACTGATCGATGGCATCATCTAATTCCTGGCGTTTCTCCACCGATGTCTTCAAGGCCTGGAGTCCGAACCATTGGCAAAATACCCCAGTTAGATTAACACATATTATGTATATATATATAAATGTATATAGTTGATTATAGTTATAATGTATAATATATATATATCATAATATATATATATATAGACACCCTCTGGTAACTCAACATAGCTATGGAAAATCACCCTTATTCACTGGTAAATATTCATTGTCCATATATGAAATAACCAGAGGGTATAAGAGGCACTTGGGAATGTAAGCAGCAAAACTGGCGATATTGGGACTCTCGTTGGTCATACAGTATGCGTGGTCACCCCTTTGTTGATTCATGAAACCCCAGCAACTGTAGATCTGTCCTCCATAAACCCTATGCAGCCAATGCAGTATACTGAGCAGTTCTAAGCAAAATCTTCTCTGTGGATGAAATTGAAGTGAAAAACATGGCTAATATCATGGAAATTGAACTCCCATAAGTTCAGATATGGGGCCCCATAGTTACTATGGTGAAATATATCTGAATCATTCTGAATCTACGTATAAGTGGAACTTTACTTCCTATCTTCCGGGCACCTATAAATCCTATAATTGACCACCATCCATTCTGCAATGCTTCCCTTCTCCACCGGGCCATCGGTTCTCATCCGTTCGAAACACTGGTGCAACTGGTGACTGAGCACCCCTGGTGGGTGCACCGTGAAATACCAGTTGGCCCATTGATTGTTGGTTTCAACCCATCCGACCCCAAGATACACCTGGTTGGTGGTTGAGCCACCTACCCATCTGAAAAAATGATGGAGTTCGTCAATTGGGATGATGACATTCCCAATATATGGAAAGTCATCAAAATGTTCCAAACCACCAACCAAACACTAGTGTATGTGACCTTTTGGATTCTTATCACCGAAATCGTGGAAGAGGTTTGAAACCACCAGTCATGAAATGCCCAACAAAACAACCCTTATATATGTACTAAAAACGTCAATGGTGATTTCTACCCCTGGGATAATTTCGATAAACCAAGCAGTCAATTTGACGTTGACTTCCCGGCCCAGTGGCCCAAACTCATCATGACTTTGTCATGCGACCCGTCAGTGACGGGGTAACAAAGGCCGCAGTTGTGGCCGTGGTTGTGGCCGGGAAAAAAAAGCCAGATCTTGTAGAAGGATATTCAACTTTGAAGGAATGAAGGCAGTTTGCCTTGTCATCTGTGCACATTTTACTTATACCTCATTGCCCGGGTATAGGGTAAAAATCTAACATCTCGCATATGGAGGTTGCGTCAAATGGTACCGCCCAAAGGATGGTGACTTTTTCATGGAAACTCCATCTATAAATGGATGAGCTGGAGGTACCCCCATGACTTAGGAAACCTCCATATAGAAAACCTCAGTATATACATCATATAGATGGTATCTTGATGATTTCATCTACATATATAACTGCATGGCTGGTGGTTTCAACCCCTCTGAAAAATATTACTCAATGGGAAGGATTATCCCATATATTGTGGAAAAAAGTTTGAAACCACCAACCAAATACCATTTCCAATTTATATCAGTTATTTTATATATACATGATATTATACATGTACCCTCTCTAATATACTGTAGATAAAACAACAACTCAGTAAACACAAAACAAGAACACGTTCTGAGTGATGGCGAATTGGTAATCCTTACCACCTAGAAGCGCTGTTTCCTGGTCAACTCAATTTGTTTGGGGTTCCTTTTTTGGGGTACAGTTCCGGCACCACATACCAGTTATAAGATGTTATAAGGCAGTTACCTCATTTATGAAATGATAACTGGTAAAGGGCTTTAACTTTAACTGATCACTGTCTGTAATATTAGCGAGCAAAAGTAACATCTTCGAGACCACAACGCTTCTCGTTAATTGCTCGGCACTTTCAGTGGCGGAGCAAACACATAGACACCCACAGCGAAAGCAAATGTCACACTGTGAATCTACGATCATGTGAGTCATCGGTCAAGATTGGGCAGCCATCAAAAAGGTCATCTTTAAGAGTTCTTTTTGGTATATGGTCAATGGGAATAAAAAAGGATCCTAAAATGGAGGGGTTTGTGAAATGGCCGTTGATATGGGGATTGGTCAAAACCTATGAAATTCGCAATATGACTGAGGAAATGCACATCCATAGATCCCAGACTTAGGGTGGTTCCAGGTCATGAAGGAAGTAACGCCCCAGAGCCCTGCACTTATGGCCCGTTTTTCAAAGCCAGTTGTGGCCATGGGATGCGATAAGTCCTGCAACTGGTTGGTAAAAAAATATGACTTCGATGAGGTTATACAAACCACTTCTGACTGTGTAAGGGCGCTGTATCGATGAGAGTCCATCAAAACTGCATCAACTCTGTGACTTCTGTTGGCGGATCGCATGCCATTGTCAAGACAAATCACACGTTTATAGGCTTGTGTTTCTACTAATTGTAACTTAAAAATGCTACTAAATACACCACAATCAAGTGGGATCAATTCAAACGTGGTAACAACAAACATATTGTGTTGACATTAAACACAACAACAAATAACAACAAATACAGTATATCTTTATCAATCATCAACACATATAACGTTCAATTTGGAATCACCGGAAACCATAGAATCTAAACATGACTTTAATCAATGGAGTGCTATATTCCATGGTTCGGCCCACATTAGTATCGTATCATTTCACAGCATTTAATATCATGTTAATCGTCATCATATATTACATTAACTACATTGCTAGAATATATAGTGTTCTGTTACATCATGTCATGTCACATCTTTCATGAACACATATTTGCATATCATACTAGAAATAGATCACTATATATATATATATATATAGATAGTATCAACATTAAATAATATCATCTTCAACTATATTCACCAATGCGGAGACAAAGCCGTCTTGAACCTGTAGGTGGCACATTCGATGGCACATTCAGAGTTGTGACATTCTGGGCTGCAAATCTGCACGTCACGGGACGTGTCATGACGTGTCATGAGGTGTCTACCAAGTTGACATCTAGCTGCCGCAAAAAAGTCGCAGAGGCTTCCCACAATGTCAGTCACACCCTCTGACCGACGCAGATTCCCTGGAACCGCCCAGCCCTTAGATCGTGGACATTCCTTTTTGGATTGGTTTTGTTGGGAAAATATTCACCGGAAACCATTTTCCCCTGAAATATGATGTTTTCCTGCAATTTTTCCCTTAAAATTGGATGATTGACCTATGACTTGGTGGTTGAGCCCTACCCCTCTGAAAAATGATGGAGTGCGTCAGTTGGGATGATGACATTCCCAAGATATGGAAAGTCATAAAATTCATGTTCCAAACCACCAACCAGCATTAAAATGGTAATTTTCAAGTTCGCAAAACTGTGAAATTACCAGATGGCTAGAGATTCTGAAGATGTCAGACTTCATGATGAACATCTGTGGTTGCCAGCTTCTCCTGAAAGTTTTGGAAAACCATTGCATTGCCCTCGGCTCAGTCCACATCCTTGGAAATCTTGGAAAAACAGTCTGCAAAGGACATGTTGTGAAAAACAGAAGCAGTATATGATTGGTGGGGATTACATGTCAGGGTCCATGTGGGTCCTCATGACCCTTAACAGTTATAACTGGCCTATAACCCCATTTACGTGATACATATAACCAACTCATTGCAGGAGCTATAATCACATTTATACCTGTTAAGGGTTTTAACTGTAGCTTTATAACATAGAATATATATATATATACACACCCTCTGTTTATTTGACATAGCTATGGAAAATGGCCCATTTACAGATGTTTTTTATCCAAATAAAACCTCCACTTATAATGGATTTTCAATGGTTATGTTAAATAACCAGATGGTATATATCAATTTCTCTAGTCGCTCCATGTGGTACACCAGCTGACGACCAGCTGAAGGACCAGATGACTGCCCTGCTGACCTGCAAGGGATCAACAAAAAGGTAGAGGAAAAGACAATATATACATATATATATATAGATACTATATATATACTATATAAATATATACTATATATATATTTCAGAAAAGATCACATGCACTTTTTTTGGTATTGTTTACATCATATGCTGCATATGTAAATAGTGCACAATATCATATCACAGGATTAGTTGAATGGAACATTCTTCCGGCATAACCAACTCATTGACTAAAATGCAGATAAAAAATCATATATGGATATGGGTCAAAACCCTGGTACCTAGCTACCCTTCGTATCAATCAGTCATAGGCATTTATGGATGGTTAGTCCCCATGGTAATTTCAAAAGTTACGACCCATCCATTTCCACATCATACATACATATGTATATATATATATATATAAAACCATGTATATAACCATATATATATATATTATGTAACCATATACATAACCGTTAACCTACATATGTATAATACATAACCATATATAACCCCCTATACATAATCTGGTTTCCCCATATACATCACCTACATCCATAACCCCCTTCATCATCCCATCCATTTCCAGAGTTCAAGCATCAAGATCAGCGCCATCTTCCATCAAGGCGGCCACACCCTTGTCATTCCTCGCAGAAAAGGGAAGATCCACCAGCTACAAATGGCGCATAGGTTGTCAGATTGAGTAGAGTTGCAGTTTTAGTAGGTATCTATAGACTATAGATCTAGAATTAGATTAACTATATGGCAAATGGATATCTCTATGGTTATTGACAGTTCTTTTTTCCACCAAAACATCACTGGCGGGCAGCACAATGTTGCAGGCTTGATCTTGCCCGGTCATTTTGTGTCACAGCCCTATTCATCACCCGCAGGCTTCAGCTGCTTAGTACAATGTGAGGCCCCCAAGATAGCTAAGTTGGTTTATAACTCCAATGTCACTATGGTTTATGGTACGCAAATAACTATAGTTACTGGGGCTTATAAACCAACTAACATCACTTGGGGGCCTCACATTGTAACAGGCTTTCGCACTCGCAAAGTCACATGGCTTCCGCAGCTGCTGATGATTTATGCAGAATGCATTCCATTTTGACCATACCTGTCAGGCATTTTGACTTGCTGCAGATTTCACATTTGCCGATTTTCTGTAGCTGCTTTTTCTAACTCAAGCCGAGCACAACCCCGAGAAGGAAAAGTTGCAAGGTGCGAGGGAAACGGAAACTTTGCAAGGTGCGAGGGAAACGGAAACAGAGGAGACCTGCGCAAAGCAGGTTATGAGCCCAAGGGCGAACCATGCAAATTCAGATGAGAAGAAAAGCGACTCCGAAAGAGATGCAACAAGGTCAAGAAGAGATGAGGTTAGCACAAGAAAGGTTTGAGAAAGAGGCGAATGAAGGAGGTGAACTGCCCTTAGAAGATGTTCAAGGTGATGGAAAGGTAGAGGAAGTAGAGAAGGTGAAGCTGGAAGGTGCCCCAAAAAGTCTCCCAACAAAAGAAAGAGATGAGGAAGGTAAGACCAGTCCTTTGCCACCACGAACTTCCCCTGCCGCCATCACACCCGCCGAGCCAGGGTCAGCATCCTCTCTCGCTGCTCAGCCTAGGAGCGCGAATCCTCAGAAAGAACGAAGTGAGTCAGCATCCTCTCTCGCTGCTCAGCCTAGGAGCGCGAATCCTCAGAAAGAACGAAGTGAGTCAGCATCCTCTCTCGCTGCTCAGCCTAGGAGCGCGAATCCTCAGAAAGAACGAAGTGAGAAGTCTTCTGCTGGTCTTACCGCGATGGCAATGACACCTGGAGTAGTTGACATGAACAAGAAAGTGGAGGAGATGACCCCGCATCAAAACTCAGCCGGGGTTCCAAATCAGGGATCAGCCACTCCGGATGTCATGCACACACCTTTGTTCACCGAAGAGCAAGTTAGAGACATGGTCATGCTGCAGAGTAGGACACCATGGTTGTACGGAGATCAACCAGCTCGGTCCTTTTTTCCAGCTTTTAGGAGACCTTCGTTTTTGGAAGCCGAAGAAGCCAGAATGTCGGCTGAATCTCATGAGATGTCCACCATGAGGGCATATATGAGGGAATTGATAAATCAGAATGAGGAATTGAAACACAGGATTCATGCGTTGGAAACAGGGTTTGCTGTTCCCGAAGTTGATTTGTCCTTTTCCACGCCAAATGGAAGTGATGGTTCAAAGGAGGCTGCAAGACCCCCAGAAAGCGTTCTGAAGGAGGCTGCAAGACCCCCAGAAAGCGTTCAGAAGGAGGCTGCAAGACCCCCAGAAAGCGTTCAGAAGGAGGCTGCAAGACCCCCAGAAAGTGTTCAGAAGGAGGCTGCAAGACCCCCAGCAAGTGCACCAAAGGAGGCCGCTAGACCCCCTGAAGGAATGTCTGGCGAAGCACAACAACCAGGAGGAGAACGTCCATCAGCCGAGACAGGAGCTGCTGGATTCACAGAAAAGTCACTTGAGTTTATGTGTCTGATGATGGAAAATATGAAAGAGCTGCAGCGCAAGTATCAAGAAGACCGAGAAGAAGGAGGATCAATCAGAGGGATTGAAGTAGTTCGATCTGGTGCTCAAGAATTACCTCCTTTGCCTGCTTGGTCGTCGAATCAATCGCCACTTCAATTGAGCGATTGGCTGCTGCTCATCGAACCGGTGGTTTCAGATTTGACTGCAACTGCTGAAACCTGGTGGAAGACCCTTCTCAAAGAGGCCGAGGGTTGGTATCAGTCTCATATGAAGATGTCACCCCTTGAACGTCTCCAACATGGACATGGAACTCCACCTTCTTTGACACAGGAAAAATGGCAGCGATTGGAGCGACGCATGTCCACGATGATGCTTCAAGCGATGCCTGAACAAGTTCGTGAAGAGCTTGTGTCCACCAGAAGGATGAGTGTGTTCTCCATCATCACACACCTCTATGTGATCTACTGTCCAGGTGGTATCTCCGAAAAACAGAACCTCCTGAAAAACCTTGAGGATCCTGCGGAAGTCCAAACATTGGGAGATGCTCCAATGGCTTTGAGAAAGTGGATCAGGTGGCGTCAGAGGGCCACCGAAATCGGAGCAATCACGCCTGATCCTGCTCTTCTTGTTCGTGGGCTTTTGAGGATGACAAAGAAGGTTTTGGAAACAAATCGAGAACTACAATTTCGAGTGTCGCTTGCACGTCATGGGTTAGGCATAGATACGGTGCCGACCTTGGAGAGTGTGACGCAGTTTGCAATGCACCTCCTCTCTGAGTGCGAGCAGTTGTCGCAAATGGAGAAGAAGACCGTCCCCAACAACGCCAAGGTTGAACCGAAAGTGAAGATGATGGAATATGAGAAGGAGGATACGAAAGGAAAAGGGAAAGGTAGAGAGAAGACAGCAGAAGAAGATAGAGGAGAACGTCAGAAGGTTGTCAAGTGCAAGTTCTACCTGACTCCAGAAGGCTGCAGAAAGGGCCGTGATTGCAAGTTCTCTCACACTGAAAAAGACGGAAAAAGGCGATGCTACGTCTGTGGTGCGGAAGAACACTTGGCTCCTGCATGTCCACGAAAGGGAACAGGTGAGGGATCGCCTCCGAAGCAGAAGGGCGCAAAAGTTGAAGAAGGAGTGAAGACAGGTGAAGTAAAGACAGGTGAGGAGACAAAGGAAGAGTCTGAGACGATGAAGGGGCTGATTGAAGAAGCCAACAAGATGCTCAGATCACTCACATCTCACTCGACTTCATCTCCCAATTCCTCTTCGGCATCAAACAGAGATGAAGACAGCCGAAGTGAAATGCTGTCACGCCTTCAGGCTCAGCTCAATTCCCTGAAGGTCTTCAAGCTTGGGCGCATTGGCGCTGGTCTGGGTCGAGGTCTCATTGACAGTGGGGCCACTCATGCGTTGCGTCCATCAAGAGAAGAAGAGGACACCCACAAGTTGAAAGAAGTTTCTGTCACTTTGGCAGATGGCAAGTCCATTCAGTTGCACATGTCCCCAGGTGGCTCCATGATCACCTCAGACCAGAACATTGAGCCGATTGTGCCTATGGGTTCTTTGATCGATGCCCTAGGCTGTGTGGTGTCGTGGTCGAAGGGAGCTCTTCAAGTCCAACATCCAATCCGAGGTCTTTTACCAGTTGAAGACTGTGGAGGTTGTCCACAGATTCCAAGGAAGTTGGCATTGGAGCTAATCTCTGAGATCGAAGACTGCAACAAAGGCGTCTCATTGAATCGCCTAGACATAGAAGAAGAGCTTGGATGGATGAGAAGGCTTCTACAAGCTCACCCAGTTTTGTCTCGTCTTCCTGACTGGCTCCAAAAGAAGCTTGTGGTCCAGCCGGGAGAATGGGAATCTTTGCCTTTGAATCGACGTCAGCGACGAACGTTGAAAACTGAGGGATTTGCACTGCACTTGTACTCTGGAGAGGACTCAGGTCACACACTTCAGCGATCTATGAGGTGTCAAGGCAGTAAGACAAGGAGGCTTTTGGAAGTGGATGTGAAGAAGGGGCAAGCGTATGACATGCTTGCTGACGAAGGGATCTATGCCACTCTCTTGCGAGCTGCGCTTTCAGGAAAGATTCTGGCTGTCTTGGGTGGCCCGAACTGCAGAAGTCGAAGTGTGCTCCGACATCGACCAATTGAAGGCCAACCATGGGCCCCCCGTACAGTGCGTTGCTGGGAGGGAGGGGAATTTGGAGCACACTGGATCAACAAGAAAGAAGAAAAGATGATTCAAGAAGATGACACTCTTCTTTGGCGAATGATTTTCTTGTACATGATTTCAGAGTATGTCCGCAAGGCACAGTTGCGACCAGACCCTGTTCACTTTGCTTTGGAGCAACCTGCATCTCCAAAGACTTATCAACCTGCAGCTGTGTCGTTTTGGGACACCACTGAGTGGCATGATTTGAGAAAGGAGTTTCAGTTGAAGGAGGTCACTTTCAATCAGGGATGTCTTGGAGGTATGGCAACAAAACCCACCACTTTGGGCACTACGTTTGATTTGTGCTTGGAGGATCACAAGATGGGTCCTCTTTTACCTGCGCAACCTGTGGAAAGCTCAAAACAGTTGGAAAGATGGGCACCTGGACTGATGAACGCTGTGAGCGAAGCGGTCATAACTCAGGTATTCAAGGGGACACCACAACTCAGGGCTCTCACATATGAAGAGCATGTTGCTTTTGGTCATGTTCCATATCGCCGTGACTGTCCTGTTTGCCTGCAATCCTCCCAACAGATCCTTCCTCATCGACGAAACAAACATCCACAAACAGGAGTTCTTGCTCTTGACACATGTGGGCCTCTTTTACCATCAAGCGATGTTGGTGGCTGGAAGTGTCGATATTTTTTGGCTGGTGCTTACACATACATGGTTCCAAAGGGCACAGAAAAGATGATAGGTCAACCCGAAGAAGAAGGCGGTCTTGAAGAGGCACCAGTGCTTGATCTTTTTGCCGAGGAGCCTGAAGGTGATGATCAGGAAGCTGATGAACAGCCTCCTGATGGCCTCTTGCCAAGAGGTGCAGAACTTCCTGAGGAGTCCCGTCTTGAAGATTCAGGAGGAGAAGAAGAGAAAGAAAAAGGAGATGAAGATCAAGATGGTCAACAAGAAGCAGAAGATGGTCCCCAAAGCGAAGATGAAGACTATGAGATCAGAGTCTTCAAGATGGCGCTCCCTCTGAGGTCCAAGAAGGCGAGGGAAGTCACAAGAGTAGCGATGGAGATGGTTCTCAAACTGAAGATTGATGGATATCATGTGAATCGTATCCACAGCGACAGAGGCCACGAATTCCTTGGGTCATTTGAAACATGGATGAGGTCTCGAGGCATTCTTTTGACAAGAACATCGGGCGATGATCCAAAGGCCAACGGCCGTGCTGAGGTTACGGTCAAGTCAGTGAAAAACCAGCTGAGAAGGATTCTACTTCATGCAGGAGTAGACTCTTCATGGTGGCCTTGGGCACTTCGATACCTGAACGAGATCTACAGGTGCCAAAGGCTGGATAAGAAGCCAGAGTTCCCCCGCTTTCTTCAAGAAGTCTTGGTGAGGAGGAGGAGGTGGAAGAAACAGGCGTTTGAGCCTATGGTGGAAGTTGCAAGATACCTCGGACCTGCACCCGAGGACAATGGCCATTGGATCAAGGTGAACGATGAAGCACCGAGAGTCACTCGATGCTACATGCAGAAAGCCATAGAACGACCTGAAGAAGGAGTGTGGCTAGCCATCGAAAGGGAGGTCTTGGATGCTCTCACAAAAAGACGAAGGCTTCGAGAAAAGACTACAGTGCGTAGGTTGAAAATGGAGGAGAAAGAAGAAGGTGAGGATGAGGCTGTGAGATTGGCAAAGATGAGGAACAGGTTTACAAGAATGGTCGAGGAGGAGACTAAGGCGATGTTGGATGATTCTCCTGAAATGATCACAGAAGAGATTGACATCTTGGCCAAGCTCAAAAAGATGCTTGACTTTCATGAGAAGGGCGAAGATGATGAAGTCCTCCAAACGAAAATCATCTCCCTTCTTGAGGTCTCAAAGAACTGGAATGATTGGCTTCCGGCAGTGGATGCTGAAGTCACGTCACTGTTAGAAGAGAAGGAAGCCTTCGAGGAGGTGAGTGGAGAAAAGTTGGAGGAGCTCTTGAAGGATGCAGAAAAAAGGGGCATACCAGTGGAGTTTCTCCCATCAAAGTTGGTCTGCACAAAGAAGCCAGGAAAAAGAGGTGGCCGCAACAAGATTCGATGGGTCATCTGTGGAAACTTCGAGCAGGTCAAAGAGGGAGAGAACACGTTTAGCTCTGGTGCAGATGCCTCTGCACTGCGCCTTCTGATCGTTGCGGCATCAAAATTCCAATGGGAGGCTGGGACCATTGACATCAAAACAGCCTTCCTGAATGCCACCATGTGCCCTGAAGACCAGCCAAGCTTGTTGCTGGTCAAACCTCCTATGCTGCTTTTGGAAAAGAAGTACATGAAGCCAGGAACATACTACATGCCCAAGCGCGCGGTCTATGGACTTCGCCGATCACCAAAGCTCTGGGGTGATTGCAGAGATGATGAATTGGAAGTCATGAAACTGGAAGTGGAGGAGGAAGAAGGTCAGATGACATCACTCCGACTCTGCCCTTTGGCATCAGAGCCAAACTTGTGGAGGATTGAAGCTGAGGAGAGTGAAGCTGAGTCTGACACTCAGTCGAACTTTGCTCCGCTGCCATTGAAAGGGCTCTTGATGACATATGTCGATGACATCTTGGTCACTGGAAGTCGAAAGGTGGTAGATGCCGTCATGGAAAAGATCAGAACTATCTGGACCACCTCAGAACCAGATCAAGTAGGAGAAAAGCCTATACGATTTCTAGGCGTCGAGATCTCAAAGACTTTTGATGTCACCAAGAACCGCGACGTTTGGTATGTCAACCAACAGTCCTACATCAAGGACCTTCTTGCGCAAGATCAAGAAGCTCCAGACAGAAAGATCCCAATCACAAAAGATCAGAGTCAACTTCCAGAGGAAGAAGGAAGAACACCAGAGCTGATTCGTTCAGCTCAGAAAGCCACAGGTGAAATGCTCTGGCTGGTGACGCGCACCCGCTTGGACCTCATGTATGCTGTTTCAAAGATGGGCTCTTGCGTCACGAAGGCCCCTCAGAAGGTCCTCCAGATCTACCAGCAGATCAAGGGGTATCTCAAAAGTACTATGGATGAAGGCATCTGCTTTGATGCTGCTGGAGCAGAGACCTTGATGATTGAGGCCATGTCAGATGCCAGTTTTGCACCTGAAGGAGACGTCAGCCACGGAGCCTTCATCATCATGGTAGCTTCTTGCCCTGTTTTTTGGCGAAGTGGTCGTCAAAGTTTTGTGATGCTCAGCACAGCAGAAGCTGAGATGATGGAGATTGTGGAGAGCATGGTGGCTGGAGAATCAATTGGTGCCATAGCTGATGAGCTGTTTGGCCCTCTGCAGCGAAAATCTTGGACAGATTCTCAGTCTGCCCAATCAATTTTGACCACTGACGGAGGATCATGGCGCACACGTCATTTGCGACTGAGAGCATCAGCTGCCAGGAGTTCAATCTTGCAGGGCACCTGGTTTCTTCAACATGTCGCAGGAAATCAAATGATCGCTGACATTGGCACCAAACCATTAGCTTCAGAAAGAATCAGGTACTTGAAGAAGGAGATGAACCTGGTTCAAGTACCACAACCGAAAGAGCATGAGAAGAAAGAAGAGAAGGTTTTTGAAGAAAAAGGAGAAGGCGTAGGCATTCAGAAAGCAGCAGCAGCATTGAAGCTGCTCACATTGGCTGCTGCGATCTCAGCTGCCAAAGGAGAACATGAAGAAACAGAAAAAGAAGATCAGGAAAATTCAACCCTCGAGCTCAAAGTCATGATGGTCGTTTTTGCGTTGATCATCGTGCTTCTCACGATCGTGAGCCAGCATTTGTGGAAGGTAGGAGTAAGGAGGCTGGAAATGTCTTGGTCAAACCAAGCTGGATCGTCTTCCCGAAGTCTCCCTGCAGGTGCTGCTGCTCAAAGAGAAGAAGAAGAAAAGGAAAATGGTGGTGAAGGGATGGCCGCTGTGGCAGGACAACTGTCACAGCGACCCACGTACCTCCCACCGGGTGGTGAAGGGATGGCCGCTGTGGCAGATCACACGCCGCAGCGACCCACGTACCTCCCACCAGGCGAAGGGTCTTCTTCGCCACTTGAAGATTCAACCTCTTCATCAGAGGACACTCCGTATCGTCCATTAGATGAGCGCCACATCCCTGGGTTCGACTTGGATCGAGTCATGCAGGAGATAGCAGATGAAGAAACCAACCTCTACGAGGAAGCACAGAGAAATCCAGAAAGATTCCAGAACTATGAGAACAGCGAGGAAAGAGCTAGAGCAGCTTTCCAAGTTTTGACCACTCGGTATGGCCGAGTTTATCACTATCAGAGCCAGTGCAGGTACCTGTCGTCTGTCCAGACAGGAGCCAATCGAGAATCTGCCTGGTGTCGCATTTGCTGGGCCATTACCGCTCAAATGCGTGGACCCCCACCACCAGGAGTTCCACTTTGGATTGATCACTGGGGTGGAGATTATCATGTGGATTCAAGATGCCCACGCTGCGATCCAGAAAAGATGTTTCCAGCATGCCAAGGATGTGGTGAGAGCGCAGGTTAGATCTTTTCCTTTTATTTGCACAATAGAAGCAGCTTGAGCCTGAATCTTGGGATGACCTCACGATATCCCAAGGGAGGAGTGCAGAATGCATTCCATTTTGACCATACCTGTCAGGCATTTTGACTTGCTGCAGATTTCACATTTGCCGATTTTCTGTAGCTGCTTTTTCTAACTCAAGCCGAGCACAACCCCGAGAAGGAAAAGTTGCAAGGTGCGAGGGAAACGGAAACTTTGCAAGGTGCGAGGGAAACGGAAACAGAGGAGACCTGCGCAAAGCAATTTACATCGCCGATTCTCCGTGGCCATGTTACTACCAGAGGCTACCCTCTGGTTATGTCAAAATAGCTATTGAAAATGACCTCAGATATCACAAAAAAAAATGCTCAACTTGGCATTTTACCATGGTATCCCAAAAGCTTGAGGCTGTACCCTCTGGTAATTTAACATAGCTATTGAAAATGACCATTTATGGTGGATTTGCCCATTGAAAAGGGTGATTTTCCATAGTTATGTTACTAAAAACCAGAGGCTAAAATCGTGAAACCATCATCCGAGCGGCAGTTGCATCTCCCCCTTCCGGTCGTAGTTGAACCTGTCACGGATCAGCAGCTTGCGGTTGCCCCGCAGTTTTGGCCCGGTTCACAGCTATAACTGGCGAAGAAAACCATATTGAAGTGATACATAGCCTTAGTTCAAGGACCTAGAACCCCATCTAGAATTCTGCTAAGGGCCATAGCTGCAGTTCGTTCACCAAATGAGTATGTATCTTCCAAATTTCATGATGCATAGTTTTCTGGTTTACGGTAGATATATCTTTCCAGTGAATGCAAATGGCTTTGTAAACCAGCAAACATCACCACAGCTGGTGGGGCTCAAGTTACAGGGAATTCTTTGCAACTGGGTGATTTGACAAACATAAGCCCATCAGGATTTTATTGCACTGGGCTGCTCAATGGCCAACTTTTTTGTAGATTGGATCTTCTGCTTGTCACCTGCAAAAAATATGATATCGAAAAAATCGGATTGTCACCTGCAAGCAGCTAGCCATCCCATAGGATCCATATATGGTATATATGCTAACATTGGGGGTGTATTGATGGTAAATGTTACCATATATAGCATACATGGATCCTATAGGCATAGTTTCTGTTTTTTTCCAATACATCTTTTCTGGTCAAAACGTGAGTAATCGTCTTGATGATTTCTGTCTACCAGAGTCGACCAGATCGTTTCACTATGTTTCACTACTTTCTTGGTCCTTAGAAACAATGCAAAAACATGGCTGGCTAATAGTTAATATATGTACGGATATAGATATGTACATAGTTACATATATATATATATATACGTATGTATACATCTATATATATATATAGTTATATCTATATATGTATTACTATACATATGAAACCAACATTGGGCTACCCCAAGTCACCACGGGTTTCAATACTATCGTCTATTTTTGGATGATTTGGGGTAGCCCCACACACGCCACTTCGGCCCCCCAACAGGCTCGGGTGCTTTCCTTAGAATTGGACGCCGACGCGGCGCGGATTGGATACGACGGTGGTGCCCCAGTTCGGAATCGCTAAGTCGGTAAACATAAATCCAAGTTCACTATGGTTTATGATACTGTTTTCTAGATCTTATAAGTATAGTTCATGGGATTTACACACCAACTTATAACTGGGGGGCCCTACATTGTATGTTTGCTATCAGTGGTAATGATGATTTCTATAGAAAGATAATATATGATCTTAAATAGAAACTTTATTTTATTTATATCACATGTTTGTTAATACACACCATTTCAACAACACTAAATTCAAGAGTTTCATCATGTAGATAACAATGAGAATGCCAATTTACCAGTAGCACAGTCAATACATGTATAACTTAGATGGTTATTAATATATCTGGGTAAATTAGAATAGTTCACTAACCTGAATTAAGGCCATTTGGGGATGATTTCCCTTATTAACCACAATTCCAGTGAGGTCGCAGTGAGGTCGTTATAATATACCCAGATATATTGATGATCTTAGTATCTTAAAAAAACAAAAAAAACACTCGAGAATTCCAACAATCCATTGCTTGTAATGCCAAGTTAGGATTAATAATCCCCGCGGTATTAATCAACCCCCTCTGCCCCCCCAAAAAAATGTAATTTTAAAAAAGGTGGTCCCCCAGGATTAATAAACCCCCCGATTAAAAAACCACCAGTGCTGAAATCATGTTTTATCCAACAATTTTTATTTCCAATTCTATTTATTTCCAATTTGTTTTTACCGTTTTTTTAATCATCATTGTTATACTTAAGGTTTAAGTTGATCATTGAAAAATTCAAAAAATGACTATTCCCCAAATGATCGATTTCTAATTAAAATCTTTATAAAAATCATCAGTTTGGATAGCTCCCAAAGGGTACCCCCCATAAGCCCATGTCCCCCATTAATAATAACCATGGTTTGCCCCCGATTAATCAACCACCTTTCTGATCCATGAGATTTTAACAAATCCAATAGAATTCTATTAAGATCTAATTGACGTAAGCCATATCCAAATTTTTATGGTTCAGAGTTGCTTACTATTAAGGGGTGGTCAAGAAACTAGCCAGAAGGTACCCCCCTACCTACCAGGGGGGGGGTGATTAATCCGATGTTGGCATTACCGCATGCGACCATATGCGACCTAGGTCTAGGCCGGGCTTCTCTCAAAAAGGGGAATGTGGACAACAAAAAACATGCCATGTTTCATCATTTTACCCTCTGGTACTTTAGCATATGGAACATAATTATACCGTAATACCTATTATTGAACTCAATGGGCCAGGGCTTCCAGTTCGCATCTGAAAAATTACCCGATGGTAACTGGGAGAATGCGATTTTCAACCATTGCATTTCGCTATGTCCCAAATCTTTGATATCGGGCTATGGCTGCAAGAAATCCCGTTGGTCGGTTACTTCTGGCTGAGATATTTAGCTGGCCCAACATCAAACAAACCCTTATTGAAATCTAAGATTGAGCAAAGCCATTTAGACACGGAGCAACCATGTGCCGCATGTGCAAAAGGCAAAAATGGCCACAATCCGATCAACAATAATTGGATTGAAAAAACAATTGGAACATTCGTGCCATGGTCAAGTTACCCTCTAGAAAGTTAACATAGACCCTGCCGGTTTTCGGGGTTGGAAGATTAATTTCCATGAAAAATTGCTGATTTTCAGGGTCGAACTGTTAATTTACCAGAGGGTACATAGTATATGGGGTATGGCCATCCATGCCTTTCTATGGGAATCCAAACAGAATTCAATGGGAATTTCAGGATCCTAAAATGGAGGTACTGTACCATATAAGGCTATATTTTGTGGGGATATTCCCTTACATAGGCCTTATATAGGCCTTATATATGGTAGGTACCTCCAATTTAGGATCCTGGGTCATGGCCAGTCATTCAGAATGGGTATCCATATAAATCCCGAACTGAACATGGATTAAATCTTCACATCCTTAGTAAATAGCTTGACCTACTAACATGAGCATGGCACATATCTTACCGTTTGGCTGGCTGGAAAATCACCATATTTGTTCATGACGGTCAATCATGGTCAATCATCATGTTTAGCCCCTAACAAATGAAGCATGTTCATCCATGTTCCATAGCTATAGCAGCTATGTTAAATTTTTCAGAGGCTAAATCCCCATTAAAATTTCCCATCATCCACAGTTCCAGTTCGACGCCGTCAAGGTGCCGTAGACTTTGGAGTAGGGAGTGATGACATGCACCTGACAGGTGCCGTAGACTTTGGAGGTCACAGGTGGAGGTTACCATCCACATGTAGTGATAAGAATTTTAAGGGACACCCAAACATGACTAGGTTAAGTATGGTTTATCTATGGAGGTTAACCATATACTTAACCAACACAGTTAACATACTTAATGCTTAAGTCCAAGTCCACTCGGATTTTTCTCCTTGTGCGAAACGAAAAAAAACAGGAACTATAGCTAGAGTTTTTCATGGACTACAGTTATGGCCCGAAATACCAGGTATAAGTACTAACAAAACCCCATTTATAGAAAGTATAATCCCATTTGTAATCAGTTATAACTGATAAATGACCATAACTGTACAAAGAAACAAGACGAATGGGCGATACTTGAGGGACCACTGGATGATCTTCAAGTCGTTGCGACGAATGAATTCCTTGGAGTAACACCGTATCAGAGATCTGGCAGAAGGACGCCATCATCCCAATGATTAACCACAAAAAATAACCATTACCCTCTGGTAAACTAACATAACTATGGAAAATCACCATTTTTAATGGGAAAATCCACTATTTCTATGGTCATGTTCAATAGCCACGTTAAATTACCAGAGGGTAATCACCATAAAACCTTCAATAACCATCACATTAACCATTATGAACCACTATTAACCAGACAGTAACAACTGGTAAGTGGCTGCTGGTGAAAAAAATATCACTTCAATGGGGTTCTATCTTAGTTATAATCTGGTTGGTGGTGCAATAACCATCTTGAAAAATCATGGAGTTCGTCAATGGGAAGGATGACATCCCATATATTATGGAAAATAAAATGTTTGAAAGCACCAACCAGATTTGGAAAGTGGCTGCTTCAATCGTCCCAGTCAGATACAAACAAGTTATCAAATATCTCAAAGTTCAGTTCGATCATCAAGGTGAGATTGCTTTCCACAGTGCTTGTGTCAATCCCTTAAGAGGGCATTATCACAACCATCATCACAGGAAACATTATATACCCTTGCCACCAAGAGCACTGGAACTGAAATAGCCAAGAAACGTTTGGCCCGTCACAACTCCGCATTGTATAATCTAATGCTTCATTTTGTTTGCATTGAATTTCAAACATATATATATATAGTATCAGATGTACGAACCCAAGCGAGCGCACTGCAAAGAACAAACAAAATATTAAGCAAAACAAACGGCTGAATATGACAACAAAAAAACAATATGACAAACACAATCCAATCCTTAAGGATAATTGTTTTATGGATACCCTCTGGTAAACTAACATAACTATGGAAAATCACCATTTTGTATGGGAAAACTCGCTATAAATGGCCATGTTCAATAGCTATGTAAGAAATTACCAGAGGGTAATCCATTCCTCCTACAACAACCCATATCCATAAACAAAATCAATATGACAAACCAATACAAACCAAGGTCTAAGGGAAAATTTCCCGAGTGCCCTGCTTTGGTAAGTATTGGATCTCTTTATTTTGGGGTTTCCAAACCATAGGGAAGCGATATGATATTTGGATGTGCATCGCACTTGCCAACTTCATCACAGTTTACACAATGTATTTATATATATATATACATTGATTATATATCCTAGTATAGCTGTTCTAGTTTCAATCATGGCTGTGATTCGTTTCGTGGGTGTATCCCAAATCTAAGAGGACTTTTTGACGGACGCTGGGGATGTACCCAGCAAAACCCGGACCGTTTTTCGCCCCTGGGCAAGCCCCGGCCGTGTTCATGGGCGTGGGGCAAAACTCCACGTGACCGCTGGATAGACCTGAACCCCACCACGGAGGGGGGGTGTGGTTTGGGGTTGTACCATGAAATGAAGGCACCATGGCTCAGCAAAAGAAAAGGAATGTTAACCGACAACAAAAAGGGTTTATGTAAGATGTATTGTTGATACAGCTGATGCCTGTACTCGAATCTGGCGATAGAAAAGCAATACAACTGGCGCTTATGTTGATCATGATTATACTTAAGAGGTACACCATGCCAAGTTTTATCGTCAAAAGTCAAAACACGTGTTTCCACCATGTTGTACAGTATGTTTTGCCATGATTTCACATGTCCGCTTTGTTTATATACCCTCTGGTAAACTAACATAACTATAGAACATCACCATTGTTAAGTTCGGTAAATCAACGAACTAAATGGTCATTTTTTTCATAGCTACGTTAGTTTACCAACGGGCAATATGGTTATTATCCATTCATATATGATTATTAATATATAATTTACTATACCACATGGTTGATTTTCCATTAATAATAATTAGTATTAATGGTTAATGAATTGTTAATAAATTATGATAATCACAAAAATGATTAATTTATAAGTATTATAAATGGTTATTATCCAATAATCATTTTGTTGATTAATAAATTGAGGGTTGCCACAAGGGCTTGACGCTTGACGCTTGACGACGCCAGGAGTACTGATCATCCCAGGTGGCAGCAAGCGATGCGACAGAGCGCTCGATTTGGAAAGTCAATGTGTCTAATCAACCAGCATCAAGTTGTCAATATACATATACATATATATATATATAAATAACCAATGTATATTATATATATAACATATAATCTATAATTCTCCACATGCTGTGAATTGCATGCTTCCATTTTCCAGAATCTTGGTCGCACGATATGTCCAACAAAAAACAGCTTCCATTGCCAACTTGCAATACAAGGATCTTCCTCTATGAGGGTGTCTAAACCTGATCCCAGTCCACCGTTCCCCCGTTTTTCGAATGAATAAATCATTTGCTGTACAATTTCCTGGAATCACCAAAGAAACATCTATTTAGTTTAGCCTGTTCCCCAGCTGACACAGATCTCCAAACCATCCAGTCCCCATCCAATGTTTTCACAAGTAGTCTTCCAACTCCCAAATCTAGGTTCAATTTTGCATCTCCCGCAATCATTGTTCCACGTCATCTGTTCCATTTATAATATTTATAGTCCTAGATATCAGCCAACTGTCATTGGTTTTCACCTCTAAGGTGGGGGCCCCAGTTGGGAATCGCCAAGTTGGTGCAAGTTTGCCTCACATTTCACTAGGCTTTGTGGTAGATATATCATGATATATCTATAACCCCTAAAAAGATTCAACAAAAACCATATCACCATTCTAAAGTTGGAAGTTACTTTGAATTCTGTCCTCGTCGGCCACTACCATTGATTTTTTTCCTTAGAAGTGGTACATAAAAACATATAAAAACCAACAGGTCCATTGGGCACATCAGGTCATTCTTGCATCCGTGGCACGTGGAGCACCGCGCTCCAGCACACCGGGCTCCGGCGGGTCCGGCTCGGGCGGGCCCCGCTCGGGCGGGCCCGGCTCGGGCGCTGGGCCTGGGAATCCGGGACGAGTTGCAGGTATGACCCACCTAAGAGTTATGGCCATGGACTGAAAACTCCTATAACTAGTTGCTTGGTGGTTTCAACCCCTCTGAAAAATGTGAGTTCGTCAGTTGGGATTATGAAATTCCCAATGTATGGAAAAATAAAAAATGTTCCAAACCACCAACCAGCTAGTTGGTTATATATCATGAAATAAACCCATTAAAAAAAAAACTATTGGTTGGGCCATAAGTGTGGCGATTATGATTATTTTTATCGTGATTGATGGATGTTTCTGATGATTGGAACAAGCATCTTCACGATGCTTCACAGTTTTTTCACAGTTATGGCCCGCTTCACACTTTCACAGCCTAGCCACCCAGAAGCTAGTTTGGGGACCCCACTTTGCGTGTGATTTAACCAAGCAAAATGTGGATTTGAACAATGAATGGTGGGATTCAGCCAACAAGACTAGGTGATTCCAAAAAAAATGTATACAACTGAATACATATATATATATACATAAATACATATGTATATATATATTTATACACATAAATACATATATAATTATATAAATATATAAATAAATATATACATACATACACACATATATATATATATATATATATAAGTGTGGGAAATGTGGAGTCTAGTCCAGCCAAGAAGAATGGAGGTTTAAACGACAAAACATAGAAATAGGAATAAAAAAAATTCACGTCACCTCTGCCCGATACATATAATATTTGTTCTATGCACAATTTCGCTTAGATATTGGGCAAACAGCACCATATGATGCATTTTGATATCTAACTTGGTTACTAAAAATACCTCTATATTATATTAAATAGTATATAGCCGGGTATCTATTTTAGCTACTTTTAACAAACAGAGAAACTACGAGAAACTAGATAGAAGATCAACTAGAAGATCAACAACAACAACAACAACAGCAGCAGCAGCAGCGCCACCACCAGCAGCAGCAGCAACAGCAACAACAGCAACAACAGCAACAACAGCCACAACGGCAACAACGGCACCAGCAGCAGCAGCAGCAACAGCAGCAACAGCAACAACAGCACCAGCACCAGCACCAGCACCAGTACCGGCACCAGCAGCAGCAGCACCAGCAGCAGCACCAGCACCAGCACCAGCACCAGCAACAGCAAAAGAAACGCAACAACAACAGCAACAACAACAGCAACAACAACAGCAGCAACAACAACAACAGCTATAAAGAAAAACTAGTGTTGAGTCTACATTGTACATATAGCTAGAAACATACTCACCAGCAACAAAATAGAGATACGCTACAACAAAAGAGCTTCCGCCGCCGCTTCCGCATTCCTCATGGACCCAAGTCTGAAGTTCTTGATGAACAATCAAGACCTTTGTCATCTGCTTGGTGGTGCAATAACCATCTTGAAAAATGTGAAAGTCAATGGGAAGGATTATCCCATACATGAAATGGAAAATAAAAAAAAGAAACCACCAACCAGTCTTTGTTGGAAAACATGATCACCCTCAAATGCCTTGAAGAAATTGCTGGATGACTGGTAGGTGATCATGCTAAAGCTGTACCAAACCTATGTTTATCTAAGTTGTGAATCCTATGGGGCCCGCAAGTGAGCAGTGGTCAAAATCCCTCTGTCTATCCATTATACTGCTTGGTTAAGAACGGGATTCCCTTTTTGGATTACTACAATTCCCAATATATGGGATAGTACAATCCCACTAATCATCAACCAACCATCATTTATCAGTTATATTCACTCATTATCCCCATACGTGCATGGTTAAAATCCCATTTAAACTACTATAATCATCAGCCAACCAGGGCTTTGAACACTGCTCACCTGCTGAACAGGATCAATCTCCTCCATCCCCATTTCCAGTGGTTCAACTGTTCAGTCCTGTCTTCCCAAAATGCAATAAACTGTGAGTAAGGATGATGTCATCCACATTGTACCCACTTGGAAGTGCACTTCCACTAAGTGAAGATAGAATATGTATATATAATAAATATATATATATATATACATCTATATATATACATGTATAATATATACACATATTCTACATCTTATATGATATAACCATAGTTATGGTGGAGATAACCATCCTTACCCACAGCCGAGGCACCTGGGCCTAGCTGTGGCAAATATCCAGGCGGTCGAATCTGGCAGCGCGAGAAAAGTGCTCAAATCTGCAAACAAATACAAACTTTCTGACTTTCCGATATATATATATATACCCGCTGGTTATTTAACATAGCCATGGATAATCACCGTCTTTAATAGGTAAACCATCTATAAATGGGCCATTTTCCATGGCTATGTTAAATAACCAGAGGGTGCATATATATATATATATATATATGTATAGTTTATGAATATAAACAGTAGTATGTTATATACACATCATATACAGCGTTTATTTATTTAAAACACACGCCTTGGCAGGCGTCCGTGGGACTCTGCAGCCCGCATTCAGGAAGGCCAACGCATCTGGGCGACCAGCGAGGCATGCATCTACCAGATTTTTTTGGCCAAAAAGAAGGGCAAAAAAACATGGAATACCTGGAGATATCCGACAACAAATACTGATTCTATATGTGTTTTTCATTGAAGGTATGATGAGTCCAAAAAATATTACAATGTATATGTATTATATAAATGGTTCTATGAAGTTCTATGTGGGATCTCTGAAAATGGGTGATCCCAAAGTTACGATGCTTGTTTCAATACTAAGTCATGGTCATCCATGACTTTGATGATGTGGAGTACCCCCTGAATTAAGAAACCTCGAAATGATTGATAATGAACAACAAACAAAATACTGGGTATCTAAGATCGGCCAAAGGTGGTCCCACAGGGATATGTGTCTTGCTTTAGATTCACCCCAATATGTAGATATATCATATATATCTATCAAAAACACTCGTGAAACTGGTATTAAAACCAGCGTCGCTATTGTGCCAATGTTAGACCCACCTGGTAAGAGTTATGGCCACGGCAATGGCAACTTTTCATGGCAATTTGGGTACTCGCTTTCTCATGGCTGCCACGCGTAAAAAGCCCAAGTCTCCCGAGGTCAAAGTGAAACCAACAGAAACCGTTCTCCAGATTCTCCAAAGCAAACTAAGCTTCTTCATTCTTCATCCAACTTCTGTGATGAAATTTGCAGGGCACCTCAATACCTACCCTTTGATAATTGAACATATCAAAAAATGGTCTTTTAGAGTGACATACTTCTTAAAATGATGATTTTCCAAAACTATGTGACACATTGCCAGAAGGTATCATCCATTTCATAATCAAAAAACAATGATATCCCCATAGAACAGCCATCAAATAGCCATTAAATAACCATTCAAAAAAAAAAACAAAACATAATCCAAACCCACCCGCCTGCCGTGGTGCCCAGAACAGTGAGGTCTTCCTCCTTGAAACCCAAACCTGGGGCGTGTGGATGGTTATGGGTTTTATATGGCGTTTGTATTGGGGTTTCTGTGTTTTTTTTTCTGGATTGATATGGGTGTGTAACGGTTTACATGGGACAATTGAAGATGTTGTGATGTTATGGGAATACAACCAACTCGAAGGGATATGGGAATATGAACTAGCAGGTATAGATAGGCTGTTGAATAACATGAGCAAAGATGACCCCTGGATAATGTTTGGCAGTGTGGATGGACTTCATTCAAAAAAAAAACAACCTACCACATCTACAATATGTATTCAAATTCTGTAGGAATCGCATATGTTTTCCTACACACGAACAGGATGTTGACAGCAGGATCTGCGCATCCCGTTCCAGGTGTCGTAGTCACTGCAGTCAAAGAAATCTAAGCATAACCCCGGAATCCCTCAGGAAGCCAAAATCTGTTTTTTTTGGTGATTTTAATATGGTTCTGATATAATCTAAGCATGCACCAAAACTCTTGGCAAAACTCCATGGTTTTTTTCGGATATCAGCTCCCTGGAGAAGACGTTCACTGAAGGCTTGGCTCTCTAGGGTCTGCATTGCCGCTGACCCTACCTTGACTAATTAGGATCTTTTCCCCCAAGTAGTGATGCTGATTATTTGGCGAATCAGGCCTACAAGTGCTCCATTGACCATGTCTGGTTTACACAACTGCACTAAGTCTTTTTTTGGATAATGGAAAGAAACATGAGACGCTTATATAATTCTTCCAAAAGCAAATCATACCCCCTGTAATCACATTCGCTGACGAGTTTCGAAAAGGGAACAGGGGACGCTACTTCGATTTGAATTCATGGAACAAAATACCCACCTCAAATGATGACATTCATTGACTTTCAAATGGCTCCCCAGGGAATGTAAGCCCCTTAGCTCCCTCCTAACCACTGAGATCGGGTTAAAAAGAGCGAAAGAAGCCTGAACTGGTCAGCAAGTATTCTCATTTGCATCTACTGGCGAAAAGGTTGAAGTATGACACTGATTACCCAACTTACCAATGTTCATCCACATGTTACCCAGTACTTTGTGATATTTAGATCCCAATTTTGCTTCGTGAGATAAGTGAAATGCCAGTGTTTTCCCTCAGTTTACCCTGTCGGGACCCTCTTTCGTGACACCCAGCGACTTGAACTTCCCTTTGGCACTCGACTGGCCATAGGCGTTAAGCGCCCAGTGATCCTCAAAGTTCTGGCTGTGGTGCCAAAATCCATACCCAGTGACCCTCCTTTTGTACCCAAAAAACTTTGTATTATTTTTTTAACCCCATAATTCTTATACTTTTTACCATTGCTTTTTGGGGGTACTTTAAAGATCTAGGTAGACTGATTTCCAATGGATTTCAAATCCCCCTGGGAATGAAATGGAAAAAAACGGACTCCTTATCAAAGGAAACAATGCGAACCACCCGAGTCGTGGCACTCAGGAAAGAAGAAATTCCAAGGGCATGAGTTCTGACGGGTTTACATGGTACATATTAAATCTATCTATAGTTAATGATGGATAATACGAGCTTATATTGATGTACCAACAAGAATATGTTGATTTCAATCTGGGATTTATGATGAGTCGTTCAGCAGTTTCTGAGACCTAAGTTCGTTTATTTTGGGTCAATTCTATTGCTTTATGGATATGGCAGATGTCTAGATAGCTTGGGGGCACCACGAGGAATTTCCGTTGGATCTTCTAGGGGTTCAACTTTCCCTCAACGTCGCTATGGAAAATGGCCACTTATATGTGATTTACCTATTAGATCCTTCTGATTTCCCTATATGTCCATAGCTTTGTTGAATTGTCCAAAGGGTAACATGTCATGAATATCTCAAAAACTGTTTCTTTGAGTTCACAGTTCACCGGCTGTAGCTAAAAGAAACACTCTGAAACGTTGTCCCCTGAACTCATGCAGCTTTCGTTCCGGCCATAAAAGGGGATGATTCCCCATTTCTAGAAACCATCAAACATGGTGGAAAAAATGAAATTCAACTAGCAAACATGCAGAATTGTAGTTGATTTATCTGATTACCGCTGGCTACGTTGCTTTTGAGTCTTGAAACACTGAACGTGGGCCACTCTTGTTTTGACACGAAAATGCCTCAGAAGTAGAGATCTGAATGTGAACTGATACTACACTTGATCATAGCAGAGACACATCTGCTTTCAGACTCCCCCTGTTTTCAGAGGAAAACACCCGGCACCTCGCCTTGGTGATGGATCAAAATGGGGCGCTCAGCCCAAGGCACTTCGCTACACCTATCCTACGGTGGCCGTTTGCCTGTGGTCTTGAATTTCCAATACTCAGCTCTGAGTTTTTCAGAGCCCCAATGCCTTCCTTTATAGGCATGTTGAAAATCATTCCACTCATTGGTGGAGCCGCCAGTCCTAGATCTATCAGCCGCCGCATTGCCAGAGCCCGACTGTGTAGAGCTCGGATGGGAGATCATGCCAGCTGCAGCAGCGCAAGAGCCCGACTGTCAAGAGCTCGGTTGAGAGATCATGCCAGCCGCCGCACAAGAGCCCGACTGTGAAGAGCTCGGTTGAGAGATCATGCCAGCCGCCGCACAAGAGCCCGATTGTGTAGAGCTCTGAAATCTCGTAGCTCTCGCTTCATTTAAAGATCTGGATGGCTCACCGTAGCCTGATTGATTTGCCCCAGAAGTAGAAGAAGATGCTTCATTGTGCAAGCTCGAACGTGTCACCCTCGGCCGTGATGAAGATCCATCCGGCACATTCCGAATAGGAACAACACGCAACATATTGCGTCGAGCCTGCTCAATCATCGCTTCTTCCTCCTCGGAGTCAAGTTGTTTCTTGTTGCGCTCCTTCTTTTTTCGCCTTCGAGGCATCTGTGATGAATCATCTTGATGCCAGTCTTCTGGTACTCTTCCATGCATCTTGTTGTGTGGGTCCTCCTCAATGCGCCGACTGCGCGTCACCATGTCACGCAGCTCATCCATGTCAGCTGCCGGCACATAGGTTGCCCTCTCTTGGTTTGCTCTGATGCGTGCCAGTTGTTGCTCATCATCATCGCTACTGTCCAAACGTAGTGCTCGCACTTGTGGTGCCTGTTGCAATTCTTCAGCTCTCTTTCCCACACAGCCGCCCGATGCCCCCTGCAGTCGATTATACAGCCACATGCCACTTCGGACCAACTTGTTGCTGATGTAGACTGCACCCACGCACATCAGGATTAAGCCGATGGTCCAGAGCCAAGATAGCTCATCACCATCCTCATCCATGTTGCTTGCTGACGCTCCAGACAGTAGTGATGCCCCAACCAGCATTGCAATCTTTGCATTCACTTGATCTTGTCGCACACATCCTCCACTATCGCTATCGCCCTTGTTGTCATAGAACTTGATGCAAAGATCTTGCAAGGCTCTTTCAAAGGCCAAACCGTTGACAATCTTGGTGAAGGAGTCCGCGACTAACTCCCGGCCCATCAAATGCGCCAGTTGCCACTCTTCCTCACGCAAGGCAGACCTCAAAATTGCAGCGCGAATCCGAAGATGTCTTGTGCGCCAGCTGCCTTGCCCCTCACCAGTTGCCAAGCTGATAGCTGCTGCATTGTCGCCCCAGAGACGCTTCACCAATCGCTCCTCTGGTTCATCACGCAAAGCCGCCACCAGAGACACCGTAGCTCTCCCACCAACCAAAGCTTCACATAAGCTAACCAGCTCACTTTCTGCCGTGGATTGTGTTGGAAATGGTTGACGACTTGTGCTCCACATGATAGGAGCTCCTGCATAAAAGTAAACTTGACCTTGAACAGATCGATAGCCTTTTGTGGATGCATAGGAAATGTCTGAGTAGGCCTCCACAGTGCGCTCACATCGTGGCTTCGCCAGATGATCACGTGCACCATGCTTTGGGCCTGGGTTTTCTGCATAGATCATGCCCATAGTTGGTCGCCTCAAGTAGGCCATCATCTTTCGGCCTATGGAGACGGTCAGCTCTGGTGCTTTCAAACAGAGCCGTGACATTGCCGCCACACCAACAGAAAGCTCGGGTCTGGTACGAGTGGCCAACCAAAGCAGCGCCCCCGTACACGCCTGAGCTTGCCGCACCAGCTCAAGATCTTCAGATCTTTGTAGTTCTGATTCCTCTTCAGGTGTGGGAAGCTTGAGGTCGAGGTGATGCGCTTTCTCAGTGATGTTCCATTTCTTCACAAGTTCAGTTTCATAGCTATGTTGATGCAGGCGATAGCCTCCACCATGTTCTTTCTCATTCTGCTGAATTTCAAAGCCACAAAACGTGATTGCTTCAGCCAGAGTAGCTTTTTCCGCATCAGCACATTCCCACACCGACGCGATCGCCTTCAAAGCACACACAGCTACGCCATCATCAGCTGCCAGCAGAACATCGTCAACGTAGATGGCCATCAAACCTCGATTTTTGACCTCCCCCGTTTCCAAGCACTGCTCTCTCAAATGCCACAAGTGTTGGTCTTTGGCCCTGTGAAAGCTGCCTTTCCATTTCGTAGCACCTTCTTCACGATGCCAAACCATATTGGGGATCACCGCATCTCGATGATCTGACCAGTCACGCGGGCTTGTGACTAGCCCATACATAGCAGAATCCACCAGCCAAACATCCTGATGAGTTGCTATGCCAAGTTTGATGTAAATGTAGGGGATTGTCATGGCAATGATTTTCGTTTTGTCCTTCCTTTCTGCATTCAGGAAGGCACATTTGATGTCAGTGCCATAGATTGCCCATTTTTGTAGGGCAGCATGCCTCAGAAGACCTCGAATTTGTGAAGCATCGCATCCCCCAGCATACGTCATGGTCGCAACCTCATCCTCGAAGTTGCCACATATGCAAGCTCGAACTTTGTGCTTGCCTCCCATCTTTCTCGTGAACACCACCTTACTAGGCAGCTCCTCATACTTCATGTCTCCATCTTGCGCCATTTTTTGAGCTTCAGCCCTCGTCACTTGCCTCACAGCTTTCTTCTCCTTGACGATGGACTGATACTCGCTCATCATCGCATGCTTCCATTCATCCCACTCTTTGTAAACCTGCTCAGTTGGAATGGTCTTTGTCACCAGGAAGTTTTCCTCCTCCTCTTTCTGTCTCTTCTCAACATCCAGAGTTCGTAGCTGTTGCTCCAAGTCAAACTTCTGGTTTGCCAACATCGCCAGGGCAGGAACACATGCTGCTTGTTCTGGGTCCATGTCGTCCACCAGAGTGCATTCTTCTGACAAAACTTTTGAAGTTTCCTGATGCATTTTGAGCAGCCTTTTCACTTCTATGCTATCCCCCTCCAACGCCCTGTCGTTGCTGTTTCCATGACCATTCTCCCCCGAGTTGGAAGCCAACTCCAGTTTTGCTATCTGTGGCACGCCTTGTTTGTAGCGCAAACGGCGCCGTGGAGCTTCTGGCACATGTTGAGCATCGGGACCTTGGAGACGTTCTTGAACCACCATATCCAGTGTGACACCCTCCCCCAGTTCCGACTGCTCCACAACTACATCTGTTGAGGCCAAAAACTTGCCATCCTCAAGACGTACACAGTAGCCGCCTGAAGTCAAAGAAGACCATGGATCAGGGCCCATGACCCGGCCAGGTGATCGCTCCCATCTCCACGATGCATAGCGTTGGTTCCAGGATTTCCTTTTCACATAGACTTTGGTGTTGAATGGAAGTAGATCAGGAACTGGATAGCCCACCTGTTGAAGTTGCCAGCGTAGACGCCGCTCAGATGCATGTCGCACTAAAATAGGCCAAAGGTCCTCTTCAATGTCGTGGGCCTTCATCAAGACTTTGGCATGTCGCTTGACCAAGCCAATCTCAACCTCCGCTCTTCCATTGCTCTTCCAGTCGCTGCCGCTGGTGTAAGTGGCTATGATGTCGCGACTGTGGCACCATGACTGAACTGCCTTTGATGTCAGTTCACGTGCTCGGTCTGCATGTAGTCGCAGCACAGGAAGTCCAAGGCTGCGCACTTTGGAGTAGATCTTGGCCAGGCCTGCCATCACGTGACCAGTAGCCCTTGATGCGATGACTTCTGTGAAAGTCAATGTTTTGACCTTCACCTGTTATGACGTCTCAACCAACTTCATCCAGCTATCATATGCCAACTTGGCCCGACCCACCGCACGTTCATCCTCCTCCCCAGGCGGTTCTTCCACGTCCGCCTCAAAACGTGGCAGCTCCACATCTTCCATATCACCCTCCACCCCATCCTCCTCCACCATTTCATCCAGTGCTGGTAGAGGAGCATCATCAGGTGGTGGTTTGCGGCCAGGTCCACACAGAGGTTCATCGTTGGCCGTAGTTGGGAATGTGTAGCAGCCCACAAGGATGTAGGTGCCAGTGGCGCCAAATTGATCTTTGCCTCGCTTGAGTTTTCCTGAAAGATCTAATGCCAAACAATAAGCACTTGGATGACGCACTCTTCGGTGATGACGTGATTGCCCAGCTGCTTCAACGCATGCTCTGCAGTCCCTTCTCATAGGTTGGTGATCGTGAAGAACATGAGCTTTCCATTTTGCCAGGGCCACCTCAGAAAGAGGGCAGAGCTTTGGCTGCTGATGCAAGGGCTTTGGGTTGTCACACTCAGAGTCCCAGGTTGCCTCCTCCGCATTGCCCGGTGCACCGAGGTGACAACGCCCCGCATCCATCTTTTGAAACTGCCTCCTCAGTCCTTCTATGATTGCAGCCTTCAGCCCTGGAGCCCATTGAGCCCATGTTGCAGACTCCTGGATTCGCTCTTGTAGTGGACGATCTTTCCAACCTCCTTGATGGCAATCACGTGGAGCTTTTGCACCTTGTAGTTCTTCCAAGCCATTGATGTTGTGTGCAATCGTGGTAGGCTTGGGTTTCACATGACCAAAAGCTCCTTGTTCAAATGAAGTGCGCATCAACTTGTACTTCTCTTGGAAATGTTGCCATGATGCCATGCGCCAAACGCTCATGTACTGGTGCTGCTGTATGTCTTGTTCAGAACGATATTCTTTTGGATCTTGTGGCTGTTCCAAACCGAACAGCACTTTGTCACACCAGTCAGGCTTGTGGTGCACCGCAATCATGTAGATCAACTTCATCCTGAAAAACATCGCTATGTCATCTTCTACCCATTGTTTTTGTTGTGGAGATAGTGAAGCTAGGCCATATGGTTCCTCCTCACTACGCACAGGGGCTGGGCCATTGTCTCCTGCCGTGCACTTGCTCTTTGGATCCTCCTCTGCAGTCGCATTTTTGCCCACATTGTCCTCCTTCTTGACATCATTCTGAGCACCCTCCTCTTTCTGCGCTGTCTTTTGTCCTTCTTGCTTGGACTTACCTTTGCCCTTCCCTTTTCCACGGCCTTTTTCACTTGCTTTTCCACCTGCACCAACTCCTTCTCCATCTCCCCCCACAGGTGGCTTCACCTGTGACTTGTAAGGGCAATCTTGTTGTTGATGCTGATTTGAACTGCACGTCCAACATCGGGAACTTTTGTCAGTGCAACCTTCCCACGGGTGCGGCCAGCGACATCTTTGTCCCTGTCGGCAACCGCCATCTGTAAGCCAGAACTTGCATGGCCACGCACTTGAAGCCGTAGATGTTGAAGACTTGCCACCGGTGGATGGGGTCTGCATGACCTTGACTGTGGGCTTTGAAGGTGTCTTTGGTTCCACAGCTGTTGCACTGGAAGTTGAGTGGACCGCCACCTCCGCTTCAGCCAAGAGAAGGTCGTAGAAAAGCCATACATTTGAAAGTGATGGACGGATGTCCAAGCTGTGGTTCATGCGGAAGCTTGCTATGCGAAAACTTGCCTGAGACGAACTTTCTACCACAGGACGTGCTATTCCATCAAGAGTGCGAATCATCAGCAGTGGATCTGGTAGCTGAGCATTCAATTCTGATGCCCTGCTTGCCTTCCGCTTCCAGTCTCAACGCTGCCACAACATCATTCGCAGTCTTCACCGTTGAGATCGTGGTGAGATCTTCAAGTAGCCGCGACTTTTCAACCAATCCACCCGGTTGGTAGGTGCGGAGCACACGAAAAAGGATCTGTGTTGTAGTCAGCTCTCGTGCAGCAATGACCTCATCTTTGATCGCCTTGGGAACTGACTGCGGCAACAAACTGGTGACACGTTGATCCAGTCTTTCAAATCCAGCCGAGAGCACCGCATTGTCGGGAGCAGCAATTCGAAGTCTGGACAAAGGATCTGCGTGGAGCCAACTGTCGTACTTCATGGCGGTTGCATCCACAACTTTCCTCCACCAACATGCCGCGTTCTTTGAGAGATCTCCAACCAGAGGTCCAAGCTGTATGATCCAATCTCCAGCTTCCAAGCTCGCATCTCGACCTTCAGGAGGAGGAAGTGTTGGGAACTGAATTGGCACCGCCTTCAAATCACCATCTTCCACCGTCTCTCGATCATGTCGTGATCGTCCTCTTTGTTGTGCTCCACCTCCATGACCCTGCTCGCTTTCACCATACAACAACTCATCTTCAGCCCGAGCTCCATGGTATACACCGTCTCGCGCTGACAAGGCCCGAGCTCGCTGACATACATTTCCATGCTCTGCTGCAATGCGAGCCCGATCTTGATGACACACATCACCATGCTTAACCTCAGCCCGATCGTGAAGTGGATGTTCCCCATGTGCCATGCTAGCCCGACCCAAAAGACGATGATCTCCATGCCATGTGCTAGCCCGATCGTGATGTGAAAGATCCCCATGAAACGTGCTAGCCCGATCGTGATGTGAAAGATCTCCATGAAACATGCTAGCCCGATCGTGATGTGAAAGATCTCCATGAAACATGCTAGCCCGATCGTGATGTGAGGGATCTCCATGAAACATGCTAGCCCGATTGTGATGTGAGGGATCTCCATGAAACATGCTAGCCCGATCGTGATGTGATTGATCACCGTGCAATTGAGCCCGACCTTGATGACGCTGTTCACCAAGCACTTGCTCCATGCGAGCCCGATCACATGCTGATACTTCTCCATGCACATGCTGAGAGCTATCCATGCCAGATGACTCAATGCCCGCGTTTCGTTTCAAACGTGCAGTTGCTTCACTGACCTCCCTAGCCCGTGCAGCTTCAGTCAAAAATGGAGTGTTCCAGTAACCTCCCATGGATCGGTTTTTGAGTGCTTCCCTATCCAACAGCTCTTGCAACGATGCCACTTCACGCTCTAACCAAATGGTTCTAGCCTGTTGAGGTGTGACTGTCTCTCCACTGGGTCTGAATGGCACATCTCCCATGACTCCCCGCACCTTCCGCGGTGGTTCAGGGCAAGCTTCATAAGCTCGCAAGTCCACTGGCCAAGCTGGAAGTGGAGGCGGATCAGGTGGCGGAGGCCCTTTTGGAACTCGAGTGCCATTGGGAGTATGCAAAACTGATTCTGGTGACATCCAAACAGGCTGAGATTCTTGAGTTGGTGGATTTCTGGTAGGGGGTGGTGTCGATGACCTACGACTCTCCTTCCATGAAGACGGCATAGACAAAAGTGCATGTTGTTTCTCCTCTCTGAGTTTCTTGATTTCTTGTAACAGCACTTCATTTTGCGTTTGAAGCCTAGCCGCTTCACCCTGGAAGTGTTGCAACATCTCTTCCCCCAGAGCTCTTTCGAATTCTCGATCAACTCCATGATTTGCACTAGATTTCTCTTGAGACTCAACCATTGGCATCCCTTCATGTTGACCCTGTTGACTTCTTCTTTTCCAAATCCCCTCCAAACGCTTCCCAGTCACACCATCGGTCGCCGACTGCTCAGTCGCGCCATTGGCCACAGGCTCAGGGTCCTTGGTCATTGCCCCCAAGTCGTGGTCGTGATCATGCCGTGCACCTTCCCCCGGATTGCGCTTGCCATCCGCTGGTGTCTGAAACGTCCCAAGCTCCCTTCCATCCCCTGCTAAGTCGCTTGACATCAAAGGTTTTGGGGAACTGTCCAGATCATCATCATCATGGGGAACCGGTTCATGCCGGCCATCTAAATCACTAGGTCGCATCTGATCTAATTGGTGATTTTCCTGGTTTCTTTGGCTCCAAAAAGGATTTGGTGGGACCGAAGATGCCCGTCGTGGTGAATCCATTGCTATTGCGCCCACAAGCCACTTGGGCTCATAACCCTTGAAACACTGAACGTGGGCCACTCTTGTTTTGACACGAAAATGCCTCAGAAGTAGAGATCTGAATGTGAACTGATACTACACTTGATCATAGCAGAGACACATCTGCTTTCAGATGAGTAATTCGAATCACTAGGGCTGGTAGACATATCTAGATTCTGTCAATGGGGATTATACAGCAACAGAACTTGAGAGAACCTGAAGGTGAATCTCGTTCCAATTTATCCAGATGTTTGGAAAGCAGCTGACCTATCTTTTACACTTTCTGGTTGGTGGTTTCAACCCCTCTGAAAAATATTAGTCAATGGGAAGGATTATCCCATATATTATGGAAAAAAAATGTTCCAAACCACCAACCAGCATTAATATACTGGTCACATCCCCATTGGAATCCATGTGTGTGTTCTGTTTGTGCGTTTCTTGTGTAAATCTCCATATCCGTTGATCAAATTCCTCTTTCTTGCGGCTTTGTTGCTTCAATCTCAATCTAGTTCTTACTTATCTTGTTGCAGTACGCGAACTGGAATAACACTGGTTTAGTTCTACGATTTACTTTGTTGAAATATTTAAACTGGTGATTCTCCGTAGTTAAGTTAAATTGCCAAAGGCATCAAAGGCTAAGTCCCCATTTTCTGCTCATTGAACATCACATCAATCCCGCGGGGGCCTTCCGGCACTGGAGGATCTTCGAAGAACATTTTTGCCGCTGGGAGTGGAGAGCCTGCGGCATGATGGGACTTGACCAAGAATCAATGGGAAAACAACTAGGGGGATCTTGATGGCTTGTTTGGTAGCACTCAGTTTCATGGTTCAATCCCATGGATAGCAGCATTTTCGTACCTGGATAGGCTATGGATTGAGTTGGTTCCCTGCTTAGTCAATGGGTGAACTAACCTATGAAGACATTGCTTTTCATCATCCCAGAAGGGAAACGTTTGATGTCTGAAACCAGCGCTGCGCAATGTTGTGCTGGTTTAGCAGTTCTGTTTGTTGTTTGATTTAGCACCTATGAACCATTGACATTTACCATAAATCATATTCATATTGCTTATAAACCTACTTGGCTAAGTAGAACCAGGTCTAGCGAATATAGATACATTATATATATATGTATTTTCCCATTAAATCCATTTAAATCCCATACTTTGGTTGGTTACACCACAACATGTTTTCTGTATGTTGAAAACCATCCACAGTTATTGTCTGTAACAAATATAACTTGCTAACTTACCCCATTTAAGTGTTGCATACATATATATATATATATAAATATACATATATATATATAAATATATATATAATATAAATATATATATATATATATTTATATAAATAATTATATATATATAACCAACTACTTACAGGAGTTACAATCCCATGTATAGCTATTAAGGGCTATAACTGCACTGGTCTTTTTCCCCCGACACAATCCTCGGTGCGGTGCTACTTCGTTCATCTGTCCTTGGGGGATGGGAAAACCTCAGAGAATTTGGGGTGAAGAACATGGGTTGAACAACCGCGTTAATAATGAGATTTAAAATGGTGATTTAATGGGGATTAAATCGTGGTTTTTAAAATTTCATAAATGGTGATTTTCATATGATGAGATTAAATGGCAATTTAATGGGTTTGAATGGGTGTTTATGGGATTGAATGGGGGTTAAATGACATACGATAGGATACAACCTACTTGGGGATGCAGTTGAGGCTACAAAGGCCTTCAACCTAGCAAATGGGGCCCCTATGACTTTTGGTTCTACATCCACTTCTAATTGATTAACTGGAACTGCAATTCCAAGTGGTGGATGTGGGTGTAGCTTGGTAGAGGCATGAAACATGGTGCTGTTGCCATGAAACAATGCTACAGAGAATGGATGTAATCACTAGAACATGGTTTCTTTCAACAGTTTCAACATTCAAAATATGGAGTGCAAATAGGAAAATATAGGAAAACATTGATCATGGAACGTTGAGTGGATAATGTCAACCCCGGATTAATAAACCATGGTTTATTAATTAGGGGGGTACTCCCCAAATAGTCATGTCATCTGATACTTTTTTATGGTATCCCCCCAATTAAACAGCCGTAAATTAGGGTTTATTAATTCAGGGTTGACATGAAAACCCATATAACTTGAGCCGCAGATCGCCGGTCGTCTCCGATCGCGATGATCCGTGGAGCCCAGTGGAGTCCAGCTCTCAGACTCTACGCTTGCGGCCCGTTTCACGCGAGATTGTGACTGGCGAACGAACAAAACCCCATGCAAAATAAGTGATACACATGTATATATATATATATTGTATAAGTGATATATATATATATAAGCTAAGCAACTAGTTGCAGGAGTTATAATACCGTTTATAACTGTCGGTCAGGCTATCTGTAGGGGATGATTCAGCCCGGAAGTGCCAAGTTCCACTGCTTATCCAAGTTCCAGAGGTGGGTCAGGCACACACAGCCACGATCAAGCAACTGCAAGGGGAGGCCCAGCCATGTTTATAACATCATGAGATTATATCCATGATTATCAATATATAATGACCATAAAGCCAATTATACCACCAACTACTGGTGATGAGAATGCTAATGAGCATGAAACAAGGTCCAGAATCAAGTGTATGTGTTTACATGTGGCCATGACTGGCCCGAATCTGAGCATCAGAGGAAAACATTGCACGAGTTGAATCAAGAGGTCGAAGCTGCTTGTTCGTGCTGCTTTGAAGTCGGCATAGCTCTCAGGCAGGTTCGTCTTCATCTTGGCCATGGTGGCCACGTTTCGGCCGATCCCCTCATACATGGGGACCAGGTGCCCATGGATAAAATATAATGCTTTTTATGTTTGCCAGTAAGGACCAAAGTACCGGCCGATCCCTCCATATTTAAGGACCCAGGTGCCAGTTAACAAACTGTATTTCTTTTTCTCGGCCTTATGTTTCTTTGCTTCGGAAATTTGTCACAAAAATGCCTCTGTGATTTGTTGGAGTATTGCAGAAAAAATAAGTTTTGTGGCATTTTTGGCGTGCGCGTGACAATAGCTAGAAAATTAGCTAAGAAGTGAGACAAACATGTTCCTTGAGCCGCACCTTGCTGAATCCAATCCGCATCTTTCATATCTTCCAGTTCCAAGTTGGTTTACCCCAAATAATATAGTTTGTTCTATAGTCAAAATTCCCATCAACCGTAAATTTTGGATGTTTTTGGATGTTCTTGTAGTTATGTATGCTTATGGTTATGGCCCTTTACCAGTTATAAGTACTAAGTGACCCCATTTATGGAATGGATAATCACATAGAAATAACCAGTTATAACTAATAAATGGCCATAACTGTACCAACTTAGCTATGGAAGCAACCCACCCGGAACCGAAAAAACAGCGAGACATCCGCCGCGCGACGCATCGAAGGTGATGCACATCCTCGTGGGGGACAGCACGATGCTGTCTTCTCCTGCAAGGTGGAGGAAAATGATACATTGGTGCCAATAATTCCAATGTCACGAACTGGTTTATGGTACGCTTAAATAACGAACTAGTTACTGGGGCTTAATTATAAACCAACGTTCACATCACGTTTGGGGGCCTCACATTGTACCCAAAAAAAATCTGGGCGAAATGAGGGGGTGGGATTTTACCATCTGGTTATGACTCACATAATTCGCCATGGAAAGATCCACCATGCTATGGGCCATTTTCCATGGCTATGTGAAATAACCAGACCGTATATACCAAATGAGGGTTGTTCAATACATATGTCAAGGTGTGAAAAAATATCTAGCTGGGTAAATTATAATAATTCACTAAGCTCCATGTATGGTATATTTACCTCCAAAACTGGGTGATTTATGTTGGGCACATGTTGGTAAATATTCCATACATGGAGCATATATTAGGGAGAACAGTGAGGTCGTTATAATTTGCCCAGATATTAAGACACCCATATTTTGCTCCATAGGTGCGCTGCTAGAATATTGATCTGTCAGATCCTGTGACCCAAATGTAGATATTCCGTACATGCAGCATGTGGGATATACTGGATGTACTTATGTTATCTAGATTAATAATCTTAAATGCTTAATAATGACCATCCGTGATTGATATGTGGGTCACGGTGGCAAATATCACCTGGTCTAAAAGGGATCGTCCAGTCATCCGGGCGACTGACATCTTGCTTGGTCCTTGTTCGGTCCATTGAAACCTATGCTGGTGCTAGGGCCGTAGGGAATGTGGGAATGGGATGATTGTCAATCATTGTATATAATTAGTTATGGACCATTCCCCCAGTCCCTACGTTTAGCACCAGTATGTTCAACATTGTTCAACAAACTTTATCCAAGGAATGAATTTCTAATGGTGACATCAACATATTCCGATCAAACAAAATCACACCAACCGCACCCCGATTCGCGGAAAGACCCAAGCACTGCACCCCTGCGGTCTCCTAAGGGAATCGGCTTCGGCCGTGTCCGCCTGACATTGCACAAGCGCAGCCGTGGGAGTTTTTTGGCATCCCATGATTTTTTTGGGATGTTTATGGTTTAATAGGGAATAATGGTGGATTAGTGATGGATTAGTGATGGATTAGTGATGGATTACGAGTGATTCATGGGATTACTAGATGGGACAAGAATTGATTTACCCTCAAGTAATTCAACATGGCACATGGAAAATGGCCATGAATTGTCCCATTGAAATGTCCATGGGACTTCTCAGCCATGTTTGCTTACCAGAGTGTGCTGTGAGTGCTGTGTTTGCCTTTAAAATGTGGTGGTATATGAGCAGCGCCCTGTCCTGGCTGACAAAAGTTGCCATCTTGGATAAGAAGCATTTGCATTGTGTTCATTCTTGGAAAAGTCCAGATTTTCACTAATTTTCCTTAAAAACCTGGGGATAGATTTAGTGCTGGAGTGCTGGTTGTAATCCATTCTCTCTCCGCTGGAGCTTGCACAGCGGGGGTGCCCTTTGGATACCTGTTGGTTGGAAACCGATGATCAACCACTGGATTTAGACCCCATTCCCCTCCGGTGTCAAACATGGCAATGGGCCTTCCCCGAGGGGCATTGAAAGGAGTCGCCATGGCGCTCGAACGTCGAGTGGCTGTTCCGCAACAAAAACAAAGGGATGGCCGCTGAAAGTGCTGGATCTGTGCTGATGGCACTTGTTGGATGTCTTGAACACCCCGTGCAGCATGAAGTATATCCCACCAATCGGTTTTTCCGTTGGTCACGGGAAAAATAAGAAGAACCACAACCGCTGAGAGTTTTTTCATCCAGCCTCGGCAGGATGGTCAGTCAGATTGCGGTGGAGAGTTGCATAGTTGCGGTGGGACAAAAACCTGTTTTTTTCGCTGCTGTGCTGTAGCATGCTGTAGCTCCCCCAAAACCGAAAAAAGCCTAGGCAGGTTGGATCCGAAATGGCGACGGAACAGAAGACCCGCGCGGCTTGAGGCCCAAAATGGGGTCAGGGGCCTCAACCAAGCGGAGGACAAAGCAACGTTGCATGGCTTGGGGGTGCAGTACATCCTGAAGGTGGACCGCTTGGAGCATTGAACAAACTGATAGTCGACTGAAGCTATGCTCAATCTAAAGCATATACCCTTTTGGAATGTTAACATAGCTATGGTTTTCAAGTTCGGTCAATCATCGATCTGACTGAACCATATAGTAGCATCCATTCTTGTAATTAAGACTCCCATATCATATATACCTATATATCCCAAAAGGATAGCCATAGTAAATCAGAACATATTGTTAAGTAGCTATAAATAGCTATAATCCATTTTACAAGTCACCCGTTTTGCTAATTCACCCAACTTGTTTCTCAAGATATCGCCTTCTTCAAATCTTTCGCAAGGTCTGAAGCATTGAACACTTCGCCTTCAGAACCTGTGAAGAAACATCTGATGGCGTTGCAGCAATGGATGATTCAACCCCATGAACCTGGGTATAAAATGGTACCCTCTGGTAATTTAACATAACTATGGAAAATCACCATAGAAATAGTGAATTTGCCCATGAACAATTGTGATTTTCCATAGTTATGTTAGTTTACCAGAGGGTAACCGTACTGAAATTACAAGGTGAAATAGCAATTTGTATGCGTACTTGGAGGGTCTAATGAGTGTGATTTGCATGATTTGCTTACCGCACACTATGATTCCTAAATAAGTGTGTATGATGTTATGATGTCATGACTGTGATTGTTCAAATGGTTTGATGGGATTAACACTTGATCTACAAGCATGATTTAATGGGCAAACATTGTCCATGTAACCAGAAATCAGTTGGATGTTAATCCTACTGAACTTGGAGGAATCCCTGTTCCTTTCCTTTCTTTCCATTTTGAGAGACACACATAAACATAATAAAAACAATACTGAATACCTGACCATGGTTTCCTTTTGCCAGGATATCAAGTATGTTAGGGCAAAGATATTACTAAGCATAACCGCACTAATTACGGTTGATTTCCAACATGCTCTATAGTGATTTGTGTGTGTGCATCTTCCGCCTTCAATGGTAAGAAAAGAACCTGTATATAGATGAGCCACGAGGCAGGTAGCTCGGGCCTCAATAAGAAATCTATGCCAGGGACGCGTCCCACATGGCAAAATGATGGTCGAAATTCAATGGGACAGATTGGATCTACATTTTGGGTAGGAATCAACATATTGGGTACCAAAAAAGTCTGATAAACCAGGAGTGTTGCTCAAGAAAAGTGTGTCGATGTTGGGAAATGCTTCTTTTTTTACGCAATGACTTCTCCAAAACAAGGCTTTCTTCACCATCATGAATCATTTTTTATGGTTGGGGAAGTCTTAAGAAACCGACTGGGTCTTTACGAGTTTAGCATCAAACACTCGTGCTTTTGATGTGGGCCAAGCATAAACAACCATGACATCATGACTGAGATCCTGACCTATGGCTTCCACCTCGGTTCAGCAGTAAGGCCCGCAAAACACCGTGATGGCCGTGGGATGAGCCATACTGTAACGAGTTGGTTATCATGCAAAACCAGTTATAACTACTGTACCATTAATAGTGGTTATATATGGTTATATGATGGGATTACATTAAAGATATAACATTACTGGTTGGTGGTTGAGCCCTACCCTTCTGAAAAATGATGGAGTTCGTCAGTTGGGATTATGACATTTCCAATATATAGAAAAATAGAACATGTTCCAAACCACCAGCCAGATTATACTGTGACTAACTGTTCAAGGTTGTAATATGCTGTAACATGCTATAAGATGCTATACCATGCTATAGGCTCTGGGGTAAACGTTTACATACAGCAAATGTAGCAAACGTTCGAAAACCCAGGGGGTTCTCGTTCGGAAAATGATCTAGAAATGGTGGCTTCTCGACATCTACGAGCTTATTACACATGGTCACAGCCCGTAAAAGTTGGTATAGAACTCCCCGATTTTATTAAGTATCCAAGATGCTCCATGTATGGAATATTTACCTACATTTGCCCTAAACATCACCCAAATGTAAGTAAATATTCCAGACATGGAGCATCTGGGTATGGTGATACTAACACTTCCTAGTGGAACCGCGCCCCAAGTGCTAGCCAATAGTCCCTGAGCAATCGTGGGAGGTGGTGTCAAACGACGTTCTGGTTCAACTTCGGAATCAGAAAGGACACGTATTGGTGTCAAAAGGAGACAACTTGCTGCCTGAAGGGTGAGTTCATCACCCCAGGTCGATGGCCTGCTCATGCTTTGCAGGTAAGCCTCAAAGCTGGTGAAAGTTGAGCTGATTTTGTCAGCAAAGAGTTGCGGCAACTGTCGGAGGAAATTCACAACTTGGGAACGGAAATCTGCTGGATCCACAGGAATGCCTGCCGTGAAGCAAATACTGACGAATTGACAACTTCCGTCAGCTGGAGTAAGTATAGCAATCTAACAGTCCTGAAATCTGAATTCAAGCTGGGCAAGCAAAAGAGTTTCACCAAATTAACTCTAGAGTCAAGCTAACCAAACAGCAACAACGAAAAGAGATCAAATCTGAAGCAAAGCCACGCCAAGAATTCTTCTGGCCAGATTGAATCTGCAGTACAGTCCCTGAAAGTCTTAGATGAAATTAAAGGATTACTTGCAGACTCAAGTCCCAGCAAGCATGTGAATAAACAAGCTCAACTCCAGCTCTGAGATTGTAGTGAAGAAACAAGGAATAGCGCTGAGATCAAATCTGGAAGTAACCGTGTAGCAAAGTACACTGTGCCACAATGAATCAGCTCTGGAGTTAACCCAGCAGGTATCTGTCATCACCAAGTTAACGGAAGAGCTTAAATCTGGAGTTGACTCCAGTAGAACTCTTGTTTCAAGCCTGATTCGTGGTTTCAACCCCCCTGAAAAATATGAAAGTCAGTTGGAACGATTATTCCCAATATATGGAAAATAAAATTCATGTTCGAAACCACCAACCAGGTTTAAATGAATGCAAGCAACGGATCACGTGGATGAACAATTCATGTCGACTTCACTGAACAAACTAGCGGCCAAGGCGGGTGCGATAAAGCGATAAAGAAAGGCTCCTCTCTGTTGCTTTCCCACACTACAAGGATATAACATGGAAAATTATGGAAAATCCGTTTGGAGACAACTGCCGTAGCCAATGAACCGTTTGGAGGTTCATCAACAAGTTCGACCATCTGAATCAGATTGAATCGATTTCGCTCCATCCTCACGAAGGCTAAGGTCCATCTTTGTTGGTTTTGATCCTCCAAAAAGTGGCCTTCCCGAGGGAGTTATGACTTGATAAACCGCTAAACTGTAGATTGATCTCCATCATTGATCCAATAGATGCAGTGAATTCTAGTGATTTTTTACCAACAGGAAGTTTCAGAAGTTGACCCCACATTGTAATTATGATTGCTTCATCATGGTTCATCTATGGTTCATCAAAAGCCACAAACCAAAGTGGAAATTAGAACGATGCTATACACTTATGGCCATTAACACTTTTAAGTCGGAATATAACAGTATAACCCCTACCAGCACAACTAGTTGGTTGTATATATATATATATATATATATATATGATTTTATATGTGTATATAATATATATAATATCAACTGAGTGATGTTTGAATGGTTTTTGTTTACATTTAACTACAATATATTACAATGATACAATGATGCTATCGATATAAATGGTGCCTCGGTTCCCAACGATCTTCGATCCAGGGGTCCCAGCGGCAATGGGCAAACTGGGCAGGCAATGGTCGTACCTTTTTTCGCAGCGGCAGCAGGGCATCTGGACGACCCTTAGCGATGAGCAAAGGGGATCTTCAACCATAATCAAGATCCCATAATCAAGGTGTGTTAGATTCAACTTGATAACCATAATCAAGCTGTGTTAGATTCTAATGTTCGATTATCAAGTTTGACTATCAACCTATGCTAGATTAGCGAAGGGAATCTTAAAGTTTAAGAAATATCTAAGGGGTCAACACTGCAATGGGGGTATGTCATAATCAGATTCAACCTAGAAATTGAGGCCCCCGAACGATAGCTAAGTTGATTTAGAATTTGGTTAGCTATTGGGTTGATTAGGGAAATGTAAATATGGGCTTATAAATCTTATAAAACAACTGGGGGGGGGCTCACCTCGAAATCAATCCTATTTGCCCATGTTTAGTCCTTTTCAGGCATCAGTCAGTAGGGTCTATCTGCAAGGCCCATTGGCATATTCCGAACGAAGAATGGCCAACTAGGTGGCATTCTACGGCACCCAGCACTTGACCGTTGACCCAGTTGACCCATGGAAAAGCTTACTTTTCATACCAGCATAGCTGTGATGTGCGGGGATTCATCACCCTAAAACATAGCATCATATGATATCATACAATGTGAGGCCCCCGTTGGATAGCGTTCAGTTGGTTTAGATTCGCCACAGTAACTATAGTTATTTGCGTACCATAAACCATAGTTATTGGAGTTATGTGCACCAACTTAGCTATCTTGGGGGCCTCACATTGTATGATATCATATGTAATTACCAATCCCCAAATCTTGCGGTACCATTTGTGCTGATGATATCGCCATTTTTCTGCCAAATCTCCTTTTTTTTGCATCATTTTTTTGGCGGGTCATC